GATGTTTTACCCACTGTTACTTACCTGTACGAGGTTTCTACTATGTTGTACACATAATGTCCAGTCGTTTGACTTTCAACCGAAGTCACGTGATTACATTAACGGGAAGATGGCAGTTTCTGAACAAACTTTATAATTTTTCATCTTGTTGTATGATGTGAGAAATTTGTATATATAAGTTTATTTTATTTTAGTACATTAAATATATATAATATTTTTGTACGTATTTTGTTTACGTTTATGTAATAACTAGCTACTTCGGCGCGGTTTCACACGCTCTACTCAGCTCCTATTGGTCGGAGCGTGATGTTTTAGCATATAGCAATCCTCGGTAAATGCGCTATTCAACACAAAAAGAATTATTCAAATCAGACTTGTAGTTACGAAGATTAGCGCTTTATATAATAGTATATGTAAGATGTAAGATTTTGATAGTTATGCAGTGGTATACCTCTCATAACCTTTTTGCAGCTTACCACCTACCACGTAAGTACATGTCTGCACTACCCAAAGGATGATTGGGAGAGAATACTATTAGCATCAAGTCCTCCTTATGCAATTGTGTATAACTTAAATCAATAAATAAATAATGTTTTATTTACTTCATGTTTCCATTTGCAGAAGATAATTAGAATCAATACTCAATGGGTTATCTCCCTCCAAAGACGTGTTATCGCTCGCTGCAATCGCTCTTAGACTATTATGTAATAGTACACAATAAACATACCAAGGTATTATTATGTTTTCGGCTTACTCACGTAGTAATTTGACGAGGAACTCGACTAGTTTCAAGCCATGCTAGTTTAGATAGATAGATAGTTATTTAGTATGTCTCACGAAAGTTACAATACAAATACCTAGGTATTATTAATTAAGCCTATGTACAAGCCACACCTGTGTAGTCTTAAGTCTTAGGAATAAGATTCAAAGTTGGTTATCATTTGAAAATAGCATTTTATTTCAGCATTTGTATAAAAAAATAATACTGTGATTGTTAAGTAATTTGTTAGTAAAGAGATGAGGAATTTGGTACAATTATCAAAGTCTCAGTTTAAACGTAACATGTGGCAATATATATGCATATATTGTTTAGGGGATCATAAGGTTGATAGACAATTTTTGTACCTGGAGTACTTACCTACATTGTTGACATATTAAACATGAAATATGGCACTTATTTTACAAATTTATTCGTTGAAATTTTACATACAGCCTTAAATCTAAACTCGCCAAACTTTGACGTTTGATGGCGAGAGACGCTCATTATACAAACAATTGACGAGGCCCAATTACCCTCCCCGTCCCCAATCTCCCCAATTCCTGAATCCCCAACGATCCTCAAACTCCCAATCCCTAAAAGGCCGGTAACGCACCTGTAACGCCTCTGGTGTTCCAGGTGTCCATGGGCGACGCCGATTGCTTACCATCAGGTGATCCGTCTACTCGTTTACCATAAAAAAAGGTGCATTATTGTGTATCACCTCTTATTTCTTCTGATCATTTTTGACTTAGCTTGAAGTGATTACTGAAAAAACATCATCTAATCTATCATCGTATTACATAAATAATAATTATCCTTCTAAGATGCTTCGTACTAAAATCTCCATCTATCGAAGAGGTCAATGCCTTTGATATGTAGTGACCTTTGTCCCTTGGACGTATCGGCAGGGCTATTAATTAAAGATATTCGTGTCACAGAATCAGTATGCATATATAAATTGTATGCATTTTGAAGTTTGCTGAGATAATATGACGAATAGTTGATATAGCGCTTATGAAATTTAATCTATTTCCATTACTTACCATTACTCACATAAAATCATGTATTTGTCCCATCATTATCAATGCCCACTACTGAGCAAAGCCTCCTCTCACGCGGAGAAGGTTTGAGCGTTAATCACCACGCTTGCTCAATGCGGGTTGGCGAATTCAAACTTATAGTTAGAAATTTTAAGCCTTGGTTTCCTCACAATGATTTCCTTCACTGTTTGTCAGTGGTATCTAAAAAATCTAAGAAAGGTCGTAAATATAACTCGGAAGAAGTCATATTGGTACTTACCGTTGTTATGTTTCGAGCCAGCACCCTCATACATGAAAAGCTTAAACTTCTTAACCCTCGGATTACCACGACCACTTTGTCACATAGTAGTAGACAAATACTACAAAGCATCACCGAGTACCTACGATCTCTATGATCTGGAAACACCCAGCATAAGCCTTTGACTGCCGACAGAAAACTGCTGAAGGCAACTCCTCCGCTAACGTAGGTAAGGTGACCTACGTGGTGGCTAACGTGTTAACCTCTGGCCTGTTAGGAAGTAAGTCTTATATATCTCCTAGAAGACTTGACAGTTAATTAAGAGTACTTCTTTTTTTAACCGACTTCAAAAAATTGAGGAGGTTCTCAATTCGACCGTATATAATTATGCTTATTTTTATGTTTGTTCGCCGATATCTCCGTTATTCATGTAGCGATTTTAATCTATTTAAAAATATCTCCAATAACAAAGTTTTTATATGTTTGTATAGACTCAACATCTAAAATCCAAAACAAACTATAACTCTATAACACAAGAAAGTTCCTGTTATCTGTTACACGTGGCGAGCCATCGGTCTATTGTGCTTGCCCGTAAGATACTCTCTAGTCCCTTCATTGTTACCGAAGATTGCACATTGGATAACCAGCATTGTACACCGATACATTGTCCCTACTGATTTTGGAGATTCCCAATTATTGGTGTTTCGTGGTTTGAAAGTGTTGTTGGTGATCATGAGTTTTAGTAGGAGAATCCTGTTGCAATTCTTAGACAATTGGGATGATGACACGGTATGAAAATTAAAAATATAATTAGTCCGTCAGTTAGGTAATGAAAAAATATTAGACACGTATTATTTATTTATTTATTTTTATTTTGTCTTATAACAAAACAATACTTAGATAAAACGAATCAAAGTTTAAGAGTGGGGGCTAAAACGTCATTTCTATGTATAAAATGTACATAGAAGTGACGTCACGCGACATTTCAAATCAATATATCGTCGAAAGTATTAGTTTCTGTAAGAAAATAAAAAATACGTGTCTAATGATTTAAAATGATCTACCAGACGGACATTAAAATAAAAATTAGGCATCTACCCTATTGGAGTTGATATAGTAAGTGGGTTTGCAAGTTAAATCTAAATTGCTGAATCTGGTAGGTAACTAAACGTGAAATTAATATATAGCTTCAAAGTAAAAATGAAAAAGTCAACTATTATTATTATTACTCCAACACGGTACCAAGTTTTAAGAAGAAAATGTTCGTAGTAACGCAAGTACGATTTATAAATATATTTAATCTTATATTACCTATTATTCAAAAAATGAATGCAGGATTGACACAGGTCGCTTCCAACCGGCTTGTCTGGAAGTCATTGGGGCGTCCTATGTTCAGCAGTGGATGGATAGGATAATGAGGATGATCCAAAGCATTGTCTCTCTCTGTTGTCAACGAATCCAAAATCTTCTCTAGGATAAAGGTTACCGAAACAAACCCATTGGAAACACAAAATTCCTCTTGTACCATTTGAATAAAAATTCCAATGATCCCGGAATCCATTAACCAGCTGTTTTACACGTAAAGTGAATAAATTGAATGATTGCAACTTCCTTTTGTTTATTAGAACGTATTTGTATGTCTGTCATTACTACTACACTATCTTATGAGACTATAGAGGTAGTAAGTAATATGGTGTCTTTAGAAATCTTAAAAACGAACTGTTGTTCCTGGACTAAGGATTGCCGAGTGGTCGCCAGCGTGACTGCCGGGCAACAGGTCTCAGGTTCGATTCACGAGTCGGGCAAAATATTGCTGAGGTTTTGTAAAAAAAAATCTCGGCAGTAGCATGGAGTCTGGAACTATATTCAGTATATAGCAATAGGCTCACCCCCTATTACATGGGATGCATAATATAAATAGTGAAAAGTGGGTGTCACATTGTTCAGTGGCATAATGTATACATCTGCCTACCCCTTCGTTTTCGGGGATAAAAAGTGTTATGTTATGTTATGTTTTAATTCTGATAACAGTTACCTACTTCAGAATTATTTATAGTAAGAGGAAAATGATTAATGTGATTTTATTAAAATACATATTTCATACAAATAAATTGTATTGCTACCTATGTTTTTATGGAACTGCAATTATTATTCAAACTGTGGTTATTCCAATGTTTGCAGTGACTACTCGCGAGATTTTATAAAAAACCCAGTAATACTTTGCCCGACCCGGGAATCGGACCCGAGACCCTTTGCCCGGCAGTCGCACTTGCGACCATTCAGCCAACGAGACGGTCATCAGAATTAAAACAATAGTGATAATAATCAACACCAAATTAAATTAACGATAAAACGGGATGAATATAATTCGAGGGGTGAATAGATACAGAAGAGGGGTGAATGAATATTGAGAAAATGTTCTAATATATACCTATTCACCTTTTGAAATTTATTCACCCCGTTGTACGGTACCTAAAACATAAAAATAGCATATATTTTAATACAAAGAAATGCTAAAGTAAATATTAGAATTTGTACTCAAATACTTTTAATATTAATCACAGCTCTACTACTACTGTTTTATTCATACAAAACACATGCTAAATATACCGTAAAGTAATCAAACCATCGCGCGATGTTAAAAATAAATACGACAATTACGTCATCTATAGCCTAACCGACTCTTATCAAGTATTTAGGACATTAATTCATTGACCTTTTCCTCCTTTCCCAACTACTGACATTATCATTTAAATCACAATTAAAGTTTGAAATAAATTAAAAACTATAAGAGACAAATTAAAAAGCCCTTTATAATAATTGGACGCAACTAACTAAATATATCTATCTCTGTTGAACATAATGAAATCACTACAGCCAAACATGTTTTATTCCTTTCGCACTATCAGAATATTAACTGTGTGTAGCAACACTCTTTAGCCGGTTTTTCATGTTTATTTTTGATTCAAACGCATACAAGTTTAGACATCTGCCCGTGCCGCTCGTCCAGTAAAAAATAAACAATTCATTCGCAAAAATGGCTACGTAAAGAGTAATAATACGCATGCGTGCGGTCTGTCAAAAATACTTCTATCAAAACGTGTGTCATCGTCTTTACGTATTTTTATTTGGTAAAAAATAGTGTTTTTTGTAAATATTAAATAAGTAATTGGAGTGATAGTTTTATTGTAAAGTGTTCGATATAAGACTGATAAATTAAATCCTGTAAAAATGTCGAAAGATGTGTCGGTTGTTGGTTTAGACGCGATCCTTCGGGAGTTGGGTGCTTTTGGGAGGTATAATATTATGAACTATGCGTTAATCTTGTTTCCGTGCTACTTGGCGGGAATGTACGGTGCAATATACATATTTGAAGCCGGAGACATTAATTACAGGTATGTTTTTTGTGTATTTTCTTTCACATTTTGACTGAAACCACTTGTAAATTGGTTTGGAAATTGAACCTTATAAAGTGCTTTACGTTATAACATCGACAAATGTTAAAAATATCAAGTATTTTGTTTTGAATCGGCGTGTTTTATATTTGGGGTTATATTACTTTCGATTTTGACAATCACGCCACCCTCCTACCGGTTTGCGCATGCGTAGCAAGTCTGTGACACAGTTTTGGGGTCCCTCGGGCTAATTGGTTCACCTTCGATCCCGCGTACCGCATTTTATCAATATTTTTCCTTCGGGTGTATCTTCCTTGTTATTATATTATATTTCTAGTACAGTTTATAAAAATAAAAGCAACTTGACTTGCTTATAAATTAAAAAGGTTTTGATGTACAAAATTATAGTTTACAGTTTGTCACAGAATTATCGTGAAAGAGTAACAAACAAAACTATATTTTATATATTTTGTTAATTTAATCGTACGTTCAATTCTTGTAGCGAAGTTTTAGTTTCATTCATTTGAAGTTTACCATTAAAACCTTCCTACAGTTGAGTAAAAAGACGAGTCGAAGCTAGAGAAACCGGTGACGTGATCACAATCTTATACTTATACTGTTATAAAAAACTGAAGAATTTGTTTGTTTGTTTGTATGGTTGTTTGAACGCTCTGATATCAGGAATTACTGTCCTGATTTGAAAAATTCTTTTTGTGTTGGATAGTCCATTTATTGAGGAATGATATAGGGTATAAAACATCACGCTACAATCAATAGAAGCTGAGCAGACCGGGTAGTAGCTAGTTTAGAAATAAAAGTGTTTTTATTTTTGAACCATGACTCAACCTCTCGTCACATTTGACCTACCCTATCATTCGATAAGTATTCTATCACAAATCACGATCAATTACACAATTTAGATAAAGATATCTGTTATCTAAATATTGAACGATTGGATGAAAGTTTCGAGTATATTGTCTTGTTGACCCCTGATACCTTCAAGACCTTCATGAAGGAGTTTCAGATGACATTGTAGATACGATCTGTTTTGCTATGACCTGAAAAGTACTGAAATATTTGCATCGCAAATATCTATAAATAGGTATTGTTGTGCAATATTTGGAGGTCAATGAGATTGAGATTTATAGGTACAAAACTATTTATATTTTGGACTGCCTCGTTGGCCGAGTGGTCGCAAGTGCTGCCGAGCAATGGGTCTCGGGTTCGATTCCCGGGTCGGGTAAAGTATTACTGGGTTTTTAATTGTCAATGGTAGCACGGAGTCTGGAATTGTGCCCGGTATACGGCAATAGCCTCACCTCCTATAACATGGGACTCATAACATAAATAGTGAAAAGTGGGTGTTACTTCTGTGTGCACCTCTGCCTACCCCTTCGGGGATAAAAAGCGTGATGTTATGTTTATTTTACTTTACTTATTTTGATGGTGATCATGATACGATGACAAAACTTTTATTTAACTAACAAGATTTTTATTTATAATTTAGACTAGTATTGTGTACTATCTGCCGACCTAGCTTTGATATTGTCCCAATTTGAATACTATTGAAATCAGTCATTTATAGTCTACAAGTGCTCTAAGATACAACTATGCTACTTTATTATGCATGCCACATGCTACATAAGCATGATATGCTTCTGTTACATAATATTACTCTGTAGACATATTATGTCTGATAGTATATTTAGTTTATTTTATCACTCATATGTTATCATTGTTGCGATACTTGTGGTGATCATTCTTTGAACACGAGACGCCCACGAAACGCATGGCGGACGCGTGTTTTATGGACAAAATAACTGTTGGAACTTTATGTATATGGTGTGGAGGTTTTCTGTGGTAATTTTGTTGATAGAGATGATTATTGAAATATCGAATAGCATACATACAATAGCGCTTTAATTTCCGTGGGGATAGACAAACAAGCCTATAATTATTCGTATGTTAAGTAAATTCAATTTTTTTTTTCTATTATACGTTGCCCCACACTAGAATTTTCTCCTGTGTCGTGGGTGCGTTTACAAACATACTAGTTCACATACACATGATATCCAGACCCGGATCACACAAAGAGTTGTTCCGTACGGAAATCAAACCTGCGATACGTTACACGGCAGCCAGTTGCCCAACGACCGCATCAACCGTGCAGTCAATTTTCACCTGTTATTATGTAATTCATTTATTTTTAAAAGGTCACAACGGTAGAATTCCCAATTACAGTAACTGATTGTGATGAATTTCATGAAATGGGTGGCAAAACTTCTTATCACACCAATCACCATCCTGGAATCCATATAACTGACATTGCACGGGCCTGCGGACGGCGAGCACGGGGAACTCGCCGCCCGATCAGAACCAGACTCGAGCGTAAGGAGGAGCCACCACAGATGGGGCCCAATAGGGCTGATGCCGATACGGAGCCACAGAGGGCTTAATGGGTTGCCGGGGCTCCGGCTCGAAGTGCAGGAGTAGGAACGGTGTGTTTTTTAGTCAGTAATAGTCTAACACTCTTTCTCGCCTCACCCTGGTGAGCGAAGTCATTGGATGATGTTCCCCCCTCAAAAAAAGTCCCTACTTATAAAATCTAATCTGAAATAATTTGCTCAGCAGTTTCTCTTGCCACCACTCAACCAACAAAACGCCTTCCCGTTAGCAACCAATAGTGTTTATTATCTTCTTCATCATCGTAGCAACAATCATGTGTGTCATAAGAATTGAAACAATTGATTGCGCGATCATTAAATAATGGATATTTACATTACTGTCATATCAATGACCGATTAAGTATTCTTTATATCACTATCGTTAAACAATTTAGTCAAATATAAACATTGTAGAAGTTGTTACTTTTTTATAACGTCTTTTGAAAGAAAGCTAAAGATTCGCTACTTATTTTGGGTTTTTCGGAAGACATAAAAGCATCACATTTTATCGCTACATGGGTATAGTTATTGCCAGTTACCTATTGGCTATGTGCGCGACGGTGGCGACGCGTAGTGGTTACAACATTTGCGGAAGCTGTCAAATAATAACAATGTAAACATTGTAATTTTGTTTGCAAATATGTATAAATAAAACCAAAGATTAAAATAGTATTGTTGACATTATTTAAGTGCAATTTATTCAATAGTTTTACTGTAAAATGAATATAATAATAAAAACCGGGTTTACATCATCCGCATTTGTTTCCAATTTCTGCCGTATTGTGCGCTGCGGTTGTTATCTGCCCGCCACTACTCGCTTTGCACATAGCCAATATTATTATTAGTTTTACACGTGAAAGAGGCATGCTTAGGTACGAATAGGCCAGCTCAACCGTAGTGATACCACGGCCTCACAGAAAATCGACGTGAAACAACGCTTCAGTTGTGTTTCGTAGTGTGACTGAGGTTACCGGAGACTCAATTCTAACTCTATTCAAACCTCCTAGACGTTTAATTCCTTACTTTTATGACAATAAAACCATTTTTTTTTCTATCACCTGTCGGCGTTTTTCGGGAGCGTTTCATTTACACCCTGTATAATGAATAGTTTGACGTCACTATTTATAAATAGTAGCATCTTATCATAGACAAATAAACTCTAAATATATGTATATACGGTATCTATTTGAAGGTCTATTTATCACGGAAATGATTTAAGGCAAATAGTTGGTTAATCAATGATTACTGTGTTAACCTGGTTGTGGCAAGCGCTACTCAGATCAGATCGGACTTCTTCATTTTCTTTCTGTTTTTTAACCGATTTCAATAAAATGGAGAAGGTTCTTAATTCGACTGTATTTTTTTCTTTTTTTTATGTTTATTACTCGATTTCTCGAAGACTTTAAGTGTGGGAGAGCCATGCTTCGGCACGAATGAACCGGCTCGACCGGAGTGATACCACGGCCTCACAGAAAACCGACGTGAAGCAACGTTTGCGTTGTGTTTCGTCGTGTGAGTGAGGTTACCGGAGGCCCAATTACCCCTCCCCCATTCCCCAATCTCCTCAATCCCTAAATCCCAGCTATCCTCAAACTCCTAATCTCCAAAAGGCTGGTAACGCACTTGTAACGCCTCTGGTGTTCCAGGTGTCCATGGGCGACGCCGATTGCTTACCGTCAGGTGATCCGCCTGCTCGTTTATCGGCTCATGCAATAAAATAAAAGACGCCTGGACCGGTTTGAAAAATTATTTTTTTATTTGAAAGGTCCCACTCAATCTTTCGAATAAATCTCTCGTCAGTATTTTAAGCCTTTGACTGCCGAAAGAAAATTGTTGAAGGCAAATCCTCCGCTAACGTTGGTCACCGGAGACCTACGTGGCGGTTAACGTCTTAAGATATCTTCTATGTAAATGATATTCACGGACAAACTACAACTCAAATATATTATATGGCAACAGTGACAATATTTTCTGTTTTTATCCTATTTGAAGCGGTATTTGGAGGATTTTCCGATAAATCGCCAACATTGCGACGGTCACAATCTCCATACAGTTTCGTTATATTGAATTTTTATTTATTTATTGTTCGTTTCACAGTAAGATTTTGAGACCTTTTCATATCATTCGCTTAGGTATTGATAGAAAACGGCAAAATGAAAAAGTATTTTAGAAGTTCAGATTGGAAAAGATAGAAACGACAATAACGTTTTTCATGATAATAAAGGGAAAGGAATGGAATTTCTTGCCGGAGTCTGTGTTTCCCGTCAAATATGACTTGAGTGTCTTCAAGTCCCGAGTGAACAGGTTGCTCATAGGTAGGCGTGCTCCATCGTCGGCCACATCGTCGCTTACCACCCGGCGAGATGGTGGTCAAACGTCGACCTATTGAGTGTAAAATAAAAACAAATAACTAATAATACACTTTCTGTTAGGTAGGCATATTTTATTATTTGCGCTGAAGTCAAAGTCAAAGTCATTTATTTCAATTAGACCAGAAAGGCACTTATGAACGTCAAAACAAAATATTGAAATGTTAAAAAAAATGTCAGTCCGTTG